TCAAGCCCATGATACAGAAAAAATACATGCAAATACATTGCAAATACCGTATTTGTTGCAGCCATTGGGCTGTGCTTGTTGCCATTTTTGTTTATGCTAATTTTTCTCTCATTGCTGCTTGGACTGATTTCTAATGAACTGAGGTTTACCAAACTGATGTGTTAGAGTACAACCACGTGAGCTAACAATGAGAGAGACACAAGCAAACCTGAGGTTTACCAAACCAATGTGTTAGAGCACGGCCAGGTGAGCTAACAATGAGAGAGACACAAGTAATGCTGCAACAAATATGGTATTTGCAATGTATTAGCATGTATTGTTTCATGTATCATAGTAATTTTTTTGTTTCTATTGAGAGTGTTATTCATTTAATCTGGCTCTTTGCCATATATTTTGGTAATATTCCTTTGTATTTGTTGCAGCGTTGACACAAGCAAACCTGTGACAAGTGAGTCAAGCAAGTATGAGCAAGATGAACGAGGCACAGTGAGAAAAGACTAGAAAAATCTGATCATTTTATTTCTAACCTGAGGTTTACCAAACCAATGCGTTAGAGCACAACCACATGAGCTAACAGCAAGAGAGACATAACTTCACAAGCAAACCTAGAAAAGGAGAACATGATGAGGAAAGAGAAACCAAAGAGAAGATGAAAAACAAGAACAGACCTGTGAAGAGTGAGTCAAGCAAGTATGAGCAAGATGAACAAGGCACAGTGAGAAAATACTAGAAAAATCTGATGAGAAAAAGGAAACAACATTTTAGAAAAAGAAATGCCCTTTTTATACACGTCCACCAGATGATCTAGGTTTCAAACATTTTCTATCTCACTTGACCACATTTCCCACTTTGCTGCAGCGGGATGAGAATGAATCCCCAGACCCTCTGTTCAACAATTTCTTGGGTTGCTTCATATAGTTCACAATGTGATCATTCTGCTTCATATTTTATTCATTTCTTTTTTGCTTCAGGGTGAAACTCCCATTGATTGGGATTTGGAACCCTTGAGGTCATATTGTGTAACCAAGCTTCTATTTTTTTTATTTACCATTTTGCGTGTGCTATCATGGTTTCATTTGTGATTATCCTCAGAACATGCCATGCAACTGAATATATGCTTCTTCCATTCTGGTTTGTAGAAACACTGGACATTTCTGTCTTGAAGGCAATCATCCAGTGAGGTGGCCTAAGCTGATGACTAGTTCTATTTTTCCTTGTGACAATGAAAGTCCAGTGTTGCCTGTTGAAGGTCCCCCCACCTGCAATCAACAAAAAAGGAAACACCTGTGCATCAAACTTTGGGTTGGACTTCTCTGGGGTTCATGTGTGTATTGGTTGAACTCAGCAGTAATATGC